TTATTAAATACAAATATATGTAAATACCGTATAACTTTTTTTTTTTATTGATCGAAATAATAAAATCGATGAAATATAGTTTTTCATCATTTTTAATGAAGAAAAAAGTCGAATTTTTTTTTTTTAATTGATCTGAATAGTAATATCGATGAAAAATAGTTTTTCATTATTTTTAAAGGAGAAAAAAAAATGTGGAATTCATGGAAGAGGAGGGACAAAGAATTTTCAATGTTTTAAAACCCTACTCGATCAACTTGATTTAACCACTAACTAACTAATCCAACCAGAAAGTTAAAAAATTTGACTTTTTTAACTTGTTTTTTGATATTTTATTATTATGCAGTAATATTTCCTTATTTTCAAAACATAATTACTGTAAAAACAACTTGAAAACTGACTATCAACAAACTTAAAAACATTGCTAATAACATATTGCTTATTAATAATGAAAATATTTCTAATCTTCTGAGTCTAATCTATGTACGTATGAATAACAGAAAATCAAAAATCAAGGAAAGAATATGTTATAGAGATCTGCGCAACAAAAAATTAGGAAAAAAAAAAAAACATGGTTATCTGAATAGGTGAATACTTGTGTTTATTTGAATAAAAATTAGTAAAGAGAAAAAGAAGGGAGAAAATAACGAGGGTAAGGAAAGAATTGATGTTAATCTTATTTATTTAGATTGACAAAAAGTGAAGGAAAGGATAGGATAATAATTTTCTTTAATCATATAATTTAAAGAAAAATAAAATAAAATATTTAAATTACTAGTTAAAAATTAATTAAAATAAAATATTTTTATATTTATTCTTTTTAAAAATTAAAAAAAAAATTAAACTATGAACCTAATCCCGTGCAATCATTCTAATTTGGAGACATAGAAAATAGGTGAGTGGAGGAGGCTCCAATCCTCTATCATTTCTCCATCTCTCTCCCCCTCCATTAATAAAGAAATCCAGATAAAGTGACAGACACATCTTCCTCTTACTCTCCTCCCCTCCCACCCCACAACTCCTCCAATTCAAACATATTGTTAGATTATCATCAAATCCCAATTGTAGTCTCGTACTCTCAAAAAAAACAAAAAAAACAAAAAATCTTATATTTAGTATAAAAAACCTCTCATATTTAAATATCAAATATTAGATATGCGACTAGTCTCTATTTTAATTTCCAAAATGAAGCAAATGGAATTCAAGATGTTCTTCTAACTTGCTAAACTCTCTAGCTCTTTAGAATAAATTTAATTAGACTTGGACTATTTACTTATAAGCTTAACCCTCTTGGACTTGTTTTTTAGACTATTAAAGGCATAAAAATCCCTTCAAAGCACACATGAGTCTTATTTTGGATGGGATTTTTCTCGCTTCCATGGATCCAAGTGCACCATATTTATGCTAGCATAACATTGATGAGTATAGAGTAATACAGTAGAGACGACCACATGACTCACGCGATAAGATTCTATCTATTTTAGGCTAATTACAACAATAATATGAAATTTATGGGTTAAAAGCACACAAAAATGTATGTTAAGGGGGTTAATAGTCTCAAAAACAAACAATTGGAGAGGTTCCAGGGCATATGCTATATTTAT